TGGTTTTAAACTGAAGGAATGAAAACTTAGACTAGATGTTGGGGGAAATTTTCATTGAGAGTAGTGAAGTGCTGGAACAGGTTGTCCAGAGAGGTTGTGGATGACCAATTTCTGGAGGGTCATCAAGGCCAGGTTGGATGGGGCCCTGTGCAGCCTAATCTAGTGCTTGATCTAGTGGTTAACAGCCACCTGCAGCAGGGGGAGCAGGAGTTTGGGGTGGGGGGGGAAAATTTGAATAACTGTACTTGGAACAGGAAAAGAAAACCTGATAAACAGTATAGTTGTGTTTGGAAGTTCCTTAAATTGAACGTAAGATCCTATTTAGATAGAAGGCCAACTGATACAGTTTGTTCTACTTGTGATCCCAGTTCCTCTTTAAAGCACAAAATCAGCTGTGCTACCATCACCTTAAGACTCCCCAACTACAGCCTGGACTGCAGAGAAGAACTGAATTAAGTTTCATCTTGCAGGGGCCTTTGCTCTGTGTTAGAAGTCCTATTAACTCCTCCCATGTACATTTAATGAACACAAACTCATTTGTCATGATGATTGCTGATGTTACATTACTGACACAGATTTCTTTCTCTAACCTTTAGAAAACAACTTTAACAGCAAGCTGAACACTGAACCAAAAACTGCATAACAGAAGAAACATTAGTACCTGTTTATAGAAAGCAGAGAATCCCCAATCTGCATGGTGCCTGAAGCTATTTCCAAGTTCAGCTCTTGCATCCATGTTGAGTACATTCTATTTTCAACTGATGCCTTAAACATGAAGAAATGAAGTAGAGGATGATGGCAACTTCTGGGAAGCTAGACAAAAGCTGCCAGTCTCATGTTTCCATTCCCATGAGCACTTCAGAATAAGAAATAACCTCCTCTGCATGCTAAAACAATTAGGAATCGTGCACCTCAGCTGGATTTGCGTAGTTAGGGGACCTAGAGATCCCTAAGAAGGAAACAACATTTTATCAGCTGGAAGGATGAAATGTTGTATTAGCAGTGTAACAGCACTCCATAAATTAGATGCATCATTTCCCACACACAGTTTTCATAGAGGAACCAGCACCTTGAAAAGAAGACTGAAGGGGGGGAATCTGATAGATGTTTATAAATATCTGAAGGGAGAAGGGAGCAAATGGATGAGGCCAGGCTCTTCTTGGTGGTGTGTAGCAATAGGTCAAGGAGTAATGGCCTAAATCTTGAATATAGAAAGTTCCATACAAACATGCAGAAGAGCTTTACAGTAAGGGTGGTGGACACAGGAACAGGTTGCTCTGATTGGTTGTGGAGTCTCCTATGGAGATATGCAAGGCTGGATGTCTACCTGTGTGATTTCTTGTAGGGTATCTGCTTTAGCAGGGAGTTTGGTCTTGATCTCCAGATATCCCTTCCACCCCCTGTGATTCTGTAAACCATTACTTGTTACAAATAAAATGTTTCAAGTACAATTTGATTTCATCTTGTGGATTATGTTTAAAGCTACTCTCTGCCTTAGGAAAGGAGCCAGCTCTAAGCTAGGAACCGGGTAAACGCTTATTTCACGATGGGCCCCAAGAACGGTGCAAGAGCGCACCCTCTCTGCAGCCAGAGCAAATTGAATTTAGCAAACTGCATTTACCTCATTAACAGCAGGAAATCTTGTCAAGTTCAGTAAGGAGGTAATATAACTAAAAATAATCCCACACTTGAGTCAATTCGAAGCCTTATTGCTGGATGAGCAACATGCAATAATTTCAGCACTCTGTGGGGACTTCCACTTATAATTTCTCTGCAAAATGCACATGAAAACAGTTCTCTCTCTTGCATTTAATACTTAGCTAAAAGGAAATGAGGACAAGCAAATTGTGAAGTAGCTACTGCAGCAAACTACTTAAGCAGTTCCTAGGAAAGAAAAAAAAAATCAATTCACATTCATTGCAATCCTTTCCAAAATACTTGGAGAAATTCTCATGAGCTCTTCTAACTTCTGCTTTAGAAGGGTCTCAAATTGAAACACAAAAATTGTGCATTTTGCTTTGGTGATTTAAATAGGATTTCTGCGTTCAAGATTACAGACCTCACAGCCTCAGATGCTTCCCAATCTTCTTCTCCATGATCCTCTCCCCAGTCTGAGATTTACACAAGCCAGGAAGGTTTTTAGATCCTACAGAAGAGCAATAGTAGAAAGAATATATTTTTGAGGTGAATGAAGAAATGAATCGTTGGGAGAAGTATTTATCAGCCTTTTCTTTCCTTGAGGTTTGGTTGGCATGATTGCTTTTGCTCTCAGATACTTTAAGCAGCATCCTGCACCTCAGTATCTGTATGGGCATTTCTGAGTCCTCCAAAAAACAGCAGTCTTAGCACTGCTGAGAAATACATTGAGACTGAGACACAGTCCCACAAACATTAAAACATTAGAGCTGCTAGATCTAAGTGAACTCCAAAAAAATCTTCTGATCTGGAAACACCTAGTCTAAGAAAAAATCCTAACCCAAAACGTACTTCAGAGAAAACTTTATCAGACATTTGAAAGGATCAATAATAGGAAACTGACAAAGATAAAGGTTCAACAGTCAGACCCAAATCCCTAGTCTTTCCAGAAGATGAGAAAAACCACACAAAATTCTGTTGTATAAACCACAAGAGTATACAATAGCCTAAGGGCACGCTCATGACAGATCTTTAAGCATTGAATTTAGAGCTATGGGTAGTATATAAAGGGAAGAAAAATAAAAGCTGCCTCCTGCATAAATCTGAGAACATTAGCATTACAGATATTGTAGAGAAAGTAGTAGCAAGAATTAGCTTAACAGAAATCTCTCTCCTCTTTGGAACAGTATAGATCACAGTTTAGTTGTTGTTAAGTGATGGATGTGTGCCTGAGGCTGGGCCAGGCCAGAGACAAGAGTAATGTAGCAGATCTCTCCTTCTCATGCAAGGACCCTTCCTGCTGGAAAAGAATTTACTCTTTCAAGACATGACAGCCAGTCAGGATCCATGTGGTGCTCAGAGTTATGATTTAGCAGAGGGTTGTTAGAATTAGGTTACTATGGTTAGGCTGCGGTTGGACTTGATGATCCTTGAGGTCCCTTCCAAACTGAGTAATTCCATGATTCTATGATTCATACCATGAGGAGAAGCATTGAAGTTTCAATCATCCTGTACCAGTAGATTAGCAAACAGAAATGGAAAGCAAAAGACATCAAGGACAAACTTAGGTCTTGGATGCTAGGCTAGGTCAAAGGGTGCCATAAAAGCCCCATCATATTTTATTTGCTGATAGGCCTAGGAGTATTAGAGGAGCCTGAGATGTTGCACACCTTTTTCTTCCAAGTATCAAAAAAGCACCTGACAGGAAATAATATGCCTTTCTGCACCAAAACTGGAAAAGGAAGGCTGGCTATCAGTCATTTCCATGTTTCCCAGGACATCCAAGTCAGATCACGTTCTTATAATCTACAGATCTGAAATGACAGCCAGCTAGCATGCTCTGCATCCCCAGGAGGTTAAGTCACTCCTGCATCAAAGCCAGAAATCAAGTTTGTCAATACAAGAATCACACAAACAGATGCAAAACAGTGGGTGACAGCACCTGTCATCCCTTATATTTCACATCATTTTGACATCATAAATGCCCTGATGAGCTCCAATTAATTTCCAGAAGTAGATCCTCATGTGTCAGTAGATTCAATAAATCTGTTTGCACCTGTAGCTGCTGCCATAACTGAATACTGAATAGAGAAACAAGACTACTATACTTTTCTTTTTGTCTCTCTAAACTGAGGAAAGCCACAGGGAATTTAACCAGTGAAACTGTAGACTTGTAATAAGAGTTGTTGATTATTCTGGAAACAGTTCATCTGACATGTCTTTAGTTCACGTTCATCTTATCTATGAGATGGACTGGTGAATTCTGTCATACCATCAACTAGTATTTTCCAGGTGTTTCTCCTCAATTATTTCTAACACAAGCCTTCACTGCTTCAAAATAGCCGTAAATACTACAGAAAAACCTAATGCTGTACATTGGCCATACTTCACAAATTTGTCACATCAGCGCATGGCAATTCTTACGTTATGATCATTAGCAAACAGTCAAAATAATTTGGTTCCACAATTAATCCGCAACTGACTGCACCAAGTCCAAAAATTCGTACTCAGCGCCATCTATTGATTCCTTCTGGTTAAGCAGAAGGCAACACACTGACTCATTCACTGTGCAATACAGGACTATGTTTTACTGAACAATCTATTTTTAATAGCAACATTGTTAGGTGTTAGAAAACATTTGATAAATGAATGTTAAATTTTGGTGCAGATTTTAACTAATCCTATTCTGTTTTCCCATAGAACCAATTATAAAGATGATACTGTACAAGTCAAGTCCTCCCAGCTAATGGCTTAGCAATACTCGTATCTCAGATACACTAGAGTTCTCCTTCTTAGATCATACTAGTGCTATGGATTTCTCTTGGTGGTGGCGTTGTGTACTTAGTAGTAGACAAGCAGTTTGCCTTGTAATAATTATACTGGAACGGTTATTTTACATTTCAAGTTAAGATCACTGAGCTCTTAACATTTTGCTTTCTGTTTCTTGTTGCAATTTTCTATATACATATTCCTGACAAAAATTGTTGTCATTCCCATGTTAAAAAACAAATGACAGATCTGATCTAGACAGACACGATCTAGAATTATTCAGGTAAAACATGGAGTAAGCACAGCTTCCATGACTCACCTTTAAAGGGCCTTTTCATGATGTTTTTACCATCCTTCCAAGCATACAGCAGTATTACTGTAGGTAATTATGCAACTCCTGCTTAACCTATCATAAGTAACCTATGCAGGTCACACTGGAAATGAGACAAACCATGTATTTCACACTTGTGCATTAACATTTCAAGTGCAAATTGACACATATGAAGCAGCAAAATATCAAGAAAAAAAGATCAATTTAGCCAAGAAGCTTTATTGATTTACTTCTTCATCAATGTGATTGAAAACTATGCATTTCCAGGGATTACTGATTCCAGAACACAGTACATACTTACCTCTTCTAACTTATTGGCTCTAGAATTTCCAGAGATATTTTGTAAAGTGCAGGACAAACAAACAAAAAACTTTATTCTTGTCTGACTTCTGCACCCATTAAAACACTTCATAAACTGAATAGAGATGATGTTACATCAAAAAAAGTTATCCTTTTTATTGTAATATCACAAATTCAGATTAGGAGGAACTGTTTAGGGCGTCCCAGCCTCCTGATGCAGTACTACTAACTTTTAAGTTACATTCGGTTGTTTGGAGCTTTATCTTTATCCATGGAGCATCTGCGTTCAGTGCTTGACTGCTTATGATTTCTAACATTCACAACCACACAACCTTCCATTCCTCAGCAACTCTATTAACAGGGAAGTGGGGACAAAATGGTAAGTCAACTTGTTCAACTACTGAAAAAAAGAATTGTTGCATGGATTTGCTCGTCATCAGAAGCAATAGATTTTTTGTAAACCAAACAGATATGCTGGGATTCCCCTGCTCTCCTTCCCAATTCCCCACAGGAATGTCAGAACAAATTATGCATTTGCAGTTGAAAACTGCAACTCTGTTCAACCACATAAAACTGCACATGCACATATAACAGCAGATCAGCCTTAAACTTTGTTCATTGGTCTCCAAAGAAATTTCCCAAGAGAACAGAATTGTTTGGATGATCTCTTACGTGATTATGAGAAAGGATACCCATCTTTTATCACATGTCAAGACTTGCTTGTCCAGGAGTTTCACCTATTCATCTTGGCACCAAAATTAGCTAGATGGATTCAACAGTACTACTGAGGGGGTGAAGGTAGTTCATCAGAACATTCAGCTTTTCCTCTCTGGAAAGCCTTTGGAAAGGAGAAGCAGGAAGAAGGTTATCTTCTTACAAAGATTTTCTCAGAAGGACATCCCGAAGTGGACGATTGCAAAAGTTTTTAGTGCCAAGAAGTGGTTACTCTGACAGAGCTTACGGGCTTTCAGTTTCAACACAGCTGTCAGCCTCACATAGGAGATCCCATAACATGCGCCTGTTTTAGGCTTAAAAAAATGGCAAGTGAAGCATTTGTTTGGAATGTGGTTTTTAGTGAGGCAGTAAACCAACTTACTGTTCAACTCTCATAAGCTACTTAAGCAGAAAATGACTTGCTGCACAGTAAAGAATTCACAGCAGGAAAACATGTCACATCATTGGGTAGGGGGAAAAGTAGATAGAATGAGATTTCCTTTGTGCACATAATCCCAACATGAGATGCAGTGGGACAAAGGCCACTAACAAGATCACACCAGAAAAATTTCCAGATCTCAAGCATAAAGACATTTATATTCAGTTTGAGAAGGCATATAAGGTAATCCCTGAGGAAAAAATCCCTCCGATCATGATTTCTATGATCTTGCAAACAAAAAAAAATGAGATGCACCCAATATTTAAGGATTTCAAAATGGATACATTTTGAAAGCAGGTTGAAATTACAGGGAGAAATTTAAAAATTCTATGGAAAATTAAGATATTCTCAGGGGATTTGTTATTCTCTTCCTAAGAATATTGTCAGGAACTACCTCTTACTCACTCCTTTGCACTCTCATTATCAACAGACCAAAACCACAACTATGAAACCAACAGCTGTATTGGTTGCTCCCTTCATAAATACAAAGAACAGTATGCAGATGGCACCCATCGATCCAACCTCGCAATTCATTCTCAAGATGTCTGGCACACATATTGAAATTGCTGTTCAAACTACCCGTCAAACAATGGGATAAGGTCAAATATTACTTCATTACATTCCCCATAAAAATGTACATAAGAGTGACTGGTCTCCAAAGTTTATTAAAAATCAAAGAATAGAAAACTTTACATAAAAATATGTCAATTTTAGCTTCCACATAGTTGTCCACACAAAAAATTTAAACATGATTTTTTTCAAACCTGTAGCACATAACCACAGTGATAGCCAGGCCAATTTATTTGGTTCACCATGACTGAAGTGTTACATGATACCACTTTTAAATGAATTTCACTTTAAAATGGACGCTAGAATAAGACACCAACTAAAGCCTTTGAAGGCTCTTTAATGTAGTTATGCTCAATATTGCTAGTGTGTGAAGACTAAGCAGTACAGGCTCCTGTAACAGCCCTTAGATATTATTTATGAATCAGCTCACAATTTTTTTTTTGTTTAAAATTGTGACGAACCTGGAGCATTAAGACAAACTTTTTGCAAACATATGCACTACTCTACTTTGGAATGTTGCCCTCTCTCCCCTCAAAGACCTGTTTGACAGATTCAGTAATAACATGAACTACTTCTGCTTCAAAGGCATACAGCATATTAAAAAGCTTCATGCTCGACACCTCATTTTAACACTCGGATATCAGTTTTAAAACCTTCTCTATCTGTATACAGTATAGAAGTCCTGTTAACAGGATTCTTCAGCTTTCTCTGCTAATGGATTTATATAACTGATCTGTAGTTTTCTGTATAGTTTAAGAACTCTCGCTAAAAAAACAGGAAGTCAGAGGGCATGAGACGTGACCTACTCCCAGGACAACTGTGGTGCTTTAAAAACTCAGGGTTAGGCAGGATGTACATTTTTCAAAAAGTTAAAGACAGTGTTTGTCATGGCAATACACACTTGCATAGTATACCTGTATGCATCTGTAAATTAAGTGCCAGCCACTCATACTGCGTACAACACTGGGCTGTGCTCTCCTGCAATACATTAAAAGATACTTCTCATAATGCTTAGAGCAGCTGAAGTACTTTTTATATATTTGCTCTTAACAGAACTAATGCATACTGCTATACAGATTCCTTAATGGAATCAACATATTTCCTTTCTCCACATTCCTTAAGCCGGGTACCTCCATTTAATAATGTTGTTTGAACCCAAACATTAACAGGTTACATTACTAAAATGCATCAAAGCATGTAGTTCGCCGCTTTTTAATTTCACATCGGGACTTTGAACCAACCTTCCCCCCTCCCTCAAAAGTTTTACTTCTGCTACTAAGAATGCTGGATTTGTCATCTGTTAAAAGGAATAAAATTAAAACTCATTGGTCAGAGCAAGAAGACTGATAGAGGCCAGACAATGAGCTAAAAAACATAGGGTCAAAATGCTTTGGAGCTTAATACCTTCTTAAAACCGTAAGCCAAATCGCTCTTCCACTGTGAATCAAGAAGCCTCAAATATTACCAAATGTCATGTTTGTAACACTGCTCAGACAACCTGCCAAAACTATGAACCCAACTTAGATAATGCAACCTGGGAAAGGATCTGTAAATTAAAAAACCTCTTCCCCTTAAATATAACTTATGTGACAATATGAAATTAAATTAAAATTCCAAGTTATTGCACAAATTATATCTCCAATATTTACAGAGCAAAAAATCCTGAACTTTGAAACAAACAGGAGTGCAGCAAATTTATTTTTTTGAATTCCCAACTTGATTTGCTGCAAAGAAAAAAAATCGAAGGGGCTGAAGTTTCCTTCACTTCCAAAATAAAAGAAAACAGAACCCACATAGGAACAGATGTAGCCACAGCAAAAAAAGCCACAGCATTTGAAAATGTCCTTGCAGTTCCACTGTCAGAGCTGCTTCGGCACTGTATGAACCATTGTGGGAAGGCAGAAAAACAAATTTCCACATTTAATAAGGCTTCACAGATAAGCACAACTACTTCTTGAAGATGGACTGAACCACCACACAAAGAAACATGCAAAGAAGTCAGCTGCAGATATTTGGCAACACCAATAAAACGATGTGCTGGACGCTGGTCTCCATCCCCTAAGTCGAGTGGCACTCGCTCAGTTTGTCTGAACAGGGAAGGTCATTTTGGCATCTGCCATTATCTGCTCAGACTAATAGGTAAACTGTCTCTGTGTTTTTTTCTTCTCCATATATTACGATTGTACTGGTGGTGTCCTCTATTACCAACTGGTTGCCTCATGCCTCCACTGTTGACAGGACTGTAGCCGTTGCCTTGGTTATGAGTTCCTTTCATGGAAAACTTCATCCCAGTGTGCTGCTAAAAAACAAGACATGCACTCAGTTTAGGCAAACAAACAACTGAAACAAAGTACGTATTACCAGTGGTATTTCCTCAACATACAAGTCATTCCCACAGAACACTGCTTGAAGCAACTGATCTTTCCATGCTTGTCTGATTTTAGCTGCACAAGTCCAAAGGCATTAACAGCTTGTTTTCTGAAGTAAATGTCCTGCAAATGAAATGGTGTAGATTTAAAAGCATCCTTAAAAACCTTCTGAGTATTAAATATGCTCACCATGCATCACCACTATAAAAACAGACCTTCCACATTAAACACTAACAGTAACAGACGTGTCTCTAAAAGATTCTTGGAAAGAATATAACCGAGTGAAATATCCAGTAAGACTTCCAGAAACATAATTAAGGAATGTAGGGGCATCACTACATGAGCTAATGGAAAGGACAAGCCTGCTCTACCTATAATTTCACTTAACTAAATCGGTAAACTAGTCATGACTTTGGAAGGAGCAGGCCTAATCTGATAAATCTTATTTGCCTGCTACATTCCACACATCCAGACCAAGGCAAAATAATGATCAGGAGTGTAACATGACACTTTCTTTGGGAGAACCTCTAATAACTTGGAACAGCAGCTGCTGAAAAGGCTTAACAACCAAGTTCAGTGTTTTCCCTACCACTTAATACCACCGTGAGTTGTGTAATCATTTCCCTACATACTGAGATTCTAAAAATACCTGCAGCTTCAACACAAGCAACTTTTTTTCTTGAGGAGTGAAAGAAATTACTACGAGAACAGATTGTCTTTAAAAAAAAAAAAACATTTTGTCTAACTTAAGTGATTTAGCAGAAACACCACGAAGTTAACATAGGGCAACTGTTTAGAACATTAAATAGCTGCAGCTACTTTATTAACTTGTATTTCCAAACAAGCGTGGTGTCAAAATAAATATGAGAACAACAAACTATCATTGAAATTATTTAAGGAATAATGCTATACAAAGCTTTTACTATTAAATTATAATTAGGAGAGCTACTGAGCATCTACAGAAAGACCTGGTAAAGAACTGTATTGAAAAGTAAAGTTAACTGTACAATCGTAAAAAAAAAAAAAATCCTTTTTTCATCTGTAAAGAATGCCCTACAGTGACCTAAACATCCTTGAATATTCAATTTTTAAACTCCCAGAACAGACACGTTAAGTGTTGTCAGAATAGCAATGGTAAAATAACCAAGGACAAAGACAAAAAGAGAATGAAAAGAGAAAGAATCCTTCATCTTAAGAGGCAAAACTCAAAACTTATCTACTGAAATATGTTGTAAAAGCACCTATCGAGAGCTACTCATTAAAATCAAGAAAATAAGCTAAAAAAAAATGAGAACATTTTGGCAAGTGGTCTTTCAAACAAGCACCACCTTTACACATCCTTCTGAGGCAAAGTGTTGAAGTTCAATATGCGTATATCTGACTCTCAAATACATAAGCAAAGCTCTACAAACATATCAACTAATTTGCTTAAATAAGGCCAAAATATTTCAAGTGATCAGTCATTCAGTAGTCAAAACACTGAGGACAGTTTTATTACACTTCACTGTGTAAAAAAAAAAAAAGGGAAATAACTCTAATTTTGCTACTGTAAAACCAGAACAAAGCTCTGACCAAAGAACACAGAATCTAATCAAGTCTATCATCTTCAGCTGTAAATATGAAGAATCTGGCAATTAATCCTTAATTTGAGTGTTCAGAAGAAAGATAATGGCACACTGGCAGGCAGTGCTTCACTCTGTATCAGGCAAGACCATGGAGCAGGTCCTCCTGAAGACCTTACTAAGGCACATGGAAAATAAGGATGAGGTGACTGGTGGTAACCAACATGATCTCACCAAGGGTAAGTCATGCCTGACAAACTTGGTGGCTTTTTATGAAGGAGGTATAGCATTAGTGGATGAAGGGAAGAGCAACTGACAATTTCTACCTGGACTTGTGCAAAGCACTTGACACTGTCCCACATGACTTCCTGGTCACCAAATTGGCAAAAAAACAGATTTGATGGATGAACCACTCACTGGATAAGGAACTGGCTGGATGACCACACTCAGTTGTAATCAACAGCTCAATGCCCAAGTGGAGACCAGTGACAAGCAGCGTTCCTCAGACATCAGTACTGGGGCCAGTGTTATGTAATATCTTTGTAGGTGACAAGGACAGTGGGATCAAGTGCACCCTCAGCAAGTCTGCAGATGACACCAAGCTGAGTGGTGCAGTAGACACACTAGAGGGAAGGGATGCCATGATGCCATCCCAGAGGGACATGTACAGGCTTGGGAGGTGGACCCATGCCAACTTCATGATGTTCAAACAAGGCCAAGTGAAAGTTCCTGCACTTGGGTCAAGGCAATTCCATGCACAGATATAGGTGGGGCAGAGAATGGCTTGAGAGAAGCCATGAGGAGAAGGATTTGGGGCTATCAGTTGATGAAAGACTCAAAATGAGCTGGCAATGTGCACATGCAACCCAGAAGGCCAACCGTATTTTGGGTTACATCAAGAGAAACATGACCAGCAGGTCAAGGGAGGTGATTCTGTCATTCTCTGCTCTTCTGAGATCCCCATCTGGAATACTGCATCCAGGTCTGGAGACCCCAACAAGGACATGGAGGCCCTCCAGGAGGGCCATAAAGATGATCAGAGGTGCTGGAACATCTCATCTTTCCTATGAGCTAGGCCTCTTTCTTCAGCCTAGAGAATAGAGAAGGCTCTCGGGAGACAACTGCTTTCCAGTAACTGAAGGGGCCTACAGGAAAGCTGGAGAGGGACTTTTTGTCAGAACAAGAGAAAATGGCTTTAAATTGGAAGAGGGTAGATTTAAACTAGATATCAGGAATAAATTCTTTACTGTGAGAGTAGTGAGTCACTGGAACAGGTTGCCCAAAGAAGTTGTGGATGCCCCCCCCCCGGAAGCATTCAAGGCCAGGCTGGATGGACTAGAGGGAGTTGTGTCTGCCTATAGCAGGGGGTTGGAACTAGGTGACCTTAAAGGTCCCTTCCAACCCAAACCATGCTATGATTCTATGACAAAGCAGTTTTACCATACAAAACTGCTGACAAAGACAGTCAGTATTTGAACAATTTAAGCCAAAAATAAATCACTTCAAATCGAAAATGACACAAACTACATAAGTAACAAAGCTACAGCCCAAATAGTTTCTGAACCTTTGACCACTAGCTTCTCCAAAAAAGGGAAAAAAAAAAAAGAAATATGAAAATGAGGTGTTAGAACTGTTAAGTTTAAAAAAATCAGCTTATACGTACAGAACTCGATATGTAAATAAGGGTCTACAAAGGTAAAGACAGTTTAGGAAACCTATTATAACATTATTAACACTACTGGATTAATGGTCACAACTGAACCCATTCTGCAGTTGATAGGAATCGTCATCATTGAAGCTCGTATATTTCAGACTTATTGCATGTAAAGTATTAGTGTAGTATTTTGCAGAATTTTACTGTACTATTTAGCACATTAGATATCCTCATTAATACCTTCACAGTCTCAAAATTTTCCCAGGTCCTTTTCAATTTTTCCTTTATTTCCAAATTCTTTATTTCAGGCCCATAGCAGAAACCACATCTGTTTTGAGGATTGACATCCACTTTCCCATCTCCTAAGCACAACATCTGGAAATACATTAAAATCTGTGTGCAGGTAACATTTAACTTGTTCTTTAATAAAAAAATCACTGTTTCACAGAGCAACAGTCTAACCAACATTTTGATCATTAAAACACTATCAATAAACCATCAGGCAGTGGTTCATTAGCCTCAATTACTTTTAAGCTAACAGGATTATATATAATATCAGCTACCTGATCATACTTTTGATCTGTTAAAACTTAGATCTGGTCTATGTTTAACATGTACTTAAATATCTAATATGTAGTAAAAGTTCTTACTCAAGTTGTTTAAATCTGGGAAAAACAAGGCCTAAAGCACTACAAATATCAAGAGATCCTTCTCCTCCCTTCTGAACACTTTGTTTGGACCTACTAGCTGAAGTCAGCTAGTTTTCAGTTGACAGCATAATGACAAGTTTGTATTTATGCATTTACAAGCCAAATCTCATTTCTTGTCCAACAAAAGAAAACAGCATTTATGCAACAGAAAACAACTTGTTTGTGCTCTTTTTGGACTCCATACAAGTTCCATCATTTCTTATCTGCTAACACTAGAGAATTAGAAGACTCAGTCATGAGGGAACAGGTGTGAGTCGAAACAAGCGATGAGAAGACAGAACTCATACTGCAACTTTACTACTATCTTGAGATAGTAGTTCTTTTATCGAAACACTTTTTATTAAGGATCTCAGGAGATATATTTTCTGTCTTAACACTATTTTAGAGCTTAAGACAGATTTCTTATTGAGATTTCTCAGCTTTTACTTGAAGAAAAATTATTTCAGGACACAGGCCCACCAGCCCTCTCCAAACAATGAGTTCACATCAATATGGTCAATGTGAAAAAATAGGTAGATGAAATACATATGCAAGTATTTAAACCAATCTGAGATAGGGACGAGCATTCTAATTACAATGACATTGGAACACAAAGTTAGGCTAAGCAAACTGATCAGATATTACCTCCACATTCTTCACTTCTTATTTTTTTTAAATTACTACTTATGAAATCCTGTTCTTAGAAACTGCTCTTTAGAGTTTCAACCAGCCTTTTCTTCAACTCAAAAAAAGTTCCTTGGAAGCAGACACTTGGAAAATCTTGTTTCCAATGCCACTACATTTTGAGAAACTATTAGATGCTAACAGTATCAGAATTGCCATTGGGACAAAGCAAGACCTCCCACAGTTGTTCTGGGTAAGAGCAAACTCTGAAGAGAAGTATTTTAGCAAGTGAAGCGTAAAAGTTTAGACTGTGTCATTTTAGCACTAGCATTAAAGTTTCATTTTCCTAGTTGCCTTCTTCCTTCAGAAGTCAGTAGTGAACGCTGCTATGAAATTCTTAA